GTGCAAGGGCTTCTCCAGAAGGAAAGTACTCCAAAAGCCTGTTTTCAGCTTCCATGATTGTTAGAGCGCAGTCAAAGAGTGCCGTTTTTCCCCATGGCCACGGGGGATTTGGTTATTTCTTCTTCCTGATCTTGGTTCCTACTTAAAGGAGTACTTGGTAAGTGGTTAGTAGCGACTAACCATAGTGGGTCATAGCCTGGCCTAGCCGCTGACGAAGTACCCCGCCCCAAGTGCGTCGCAGTGAGCTTCCAACCCGCCACGGGGTCTGAAGCGCACGAGGCCGTCAAGGGCTTGCTGCCGCCCAGGCGCGGCCCGAAGGGGCTTCGGGCGGCAAACTCTGCCGCGAATTCGCATGTGGCTGTGGTTGTCAAAACCGTTTTGGGATCCCATGTTGGTTGGTAGGTGAATTCACCACCCATTTTAGAACGTATTTTAGTGGGGATTGGGATGTTCACTGGGGGTACGGGATTTTGACCCATGGCCATGTAAGACGATACAACACTGGAGCCACGTGCTCCAAACCCGGGCACAATACAATGAAGGTTGGCAAGGGATAATCCCAGCCAATGGGTGCGTTCGCCGCATTTTACAATTCTTTACGCGGTTCTGGGTAAACCATTTTAATACCGGAATTTAATTTGACTTGCGTTTTAGAGGCGCCTGCTGTGGGGGAGACATCCTTTTTCGGGTTCCAAGTTGTATTTGCAGGGGCGTAAGGCAAACGCCAATCACACAGTGATTAAGTGATGCAATCAACCTGATGTAGTTTATTTCTTGTGAATTGTATGTCTTGTTACTGGGAAGTCTTCCCTCTCCATATTGTTGTTCTGTATGATTCATCCTCTTTATGATTTAACGCTATTATCATACTCCTTAGCACCAAGCACACGATATATATATATATATATATATGTTTTCCAAGGCTGCAATGAGGTCAATCTCCATCATGGGGCCTGTCCTCTTGGAATAGCCGGCTCAAGGCCTTCTTGACAAATGACCGTCCATCCAACGGAAATGGCACAAAGGTGCCCATTGCTGAGCATAGTGGTATCATCCCCAACTGGTTGGCTATCATATTGTGATGAATACATTGCTGATGATTGCCGATGGGGTCAGAATGACACACGTGGGCAAATATCAACCATTGACATCAAGCTACATAATATGCACGCAAAGACAGGGCAGCAAGCTATGCCCGCGACATTTGAGAAAGGGTGGACGGAGCACGGCATGTTTTTTGCAAGAACAATAGGACTGCTCAATGTACATGCTTTTTTTTCGAAGATGCAACATTGGCAGGGAACAGCGATGGAAGGGGGTTCCAGGATGACGACAGACATGTCTGGTGCTTCAGCATTGCCTTGGGCAGCTGAACTCTTGAAGCCTCTGTCAGACTTCACAATCTTTTGTTTTTTCGCGACCTCCATGTTTGACGTTCACTGAAAAGTGGTATTGACAACTGCTGTGTTGGATAGCGATGTGCTCCTGAATGCTCCTGACCTGAAGTTATTGAGTTTAAGGCGGATTTGAAGCCATAGGAGCAGCTTGGGCCAGTGGTGCTTGTTTTCTCTTATTGGAGGGGTATTTCCATTCAACATGAGTACCAACAATCCATAGGCATTTCAAATGGGTCTTTTAGCCACTAACTTGGGCAAGAGGCGTGTTTGCCATGGCACCAACAAATAGCCTCCTCTCCACAAACATGGGACCTGACAGAGAGGTTCTTCAAAATGCACCCTCTTGCAGGTTCCATGGAGGACAGGAGAGGGAGGACGGGCACCATCTCCAGTCGTTTACTCCTGTCCATTGCATAGCCCGTCCCTTCATGCCTCTCACTCGCCAGTTAACCAGAGTCTGCTTCCTTTTTGCCGTACCCTGGGCTTGGACCTAATGTTCTGTGCTCCAGGCTGCTGATGGGAGAGGCTCCCACCGCACCTCAGCTGAAGCTTTGTGGCTTTCGAGAGTGTAGCTGGTGAACGGAGGGCAAGTGGGTCTGTCGTTTTTGTGGGCACCCTTTTTGGGTTGGGGTTGGTTGGTTTTAGAGGGAGACCCAAATGGACACCAACCATCTTGGGTGGTCCCCAAACAAAAGACACGCCCAAATGGGCGAAAATTCGAAATTGCCAAAAGTACAGATTCAGCAAATGTGTGAAGATCCTTGACTGGGGATTCCCTGATTTCCTGTGGGAATCAAAGTAGTTGCCCAGATTCGAGGTTTGGAGTTTTCGCCTTACGAATTGTTTTGGAAGTCTCCCACATGCTTCGCCTTTGCGGCAAGCCAATCAGCAGTGTGACATGTACACCGTGCATGCTGACATCCAGGCTTTAGTCCTTCCCGTGTCATGCATGGCAGCTATTGTCAACCATCCTGACTCTTTTGTTGTTCACATGATTTGTCAAGAGCCTTTTCCAAGGGTGTCGGTTTTGACTCCAAGTTGCACGCATTGTTGTTTTTCGAATGCGAGGCGACTCTGCAGAGTTGAAAACACGAAGAGTTCCCCATCGTTCGCGTTCATGTGTGCAATGTTGGTTTCTTCTTGGAGCTGTTTGATTATTGAGCGTTGCCTTGGTTTCTGCGCATCTACCCTGTTTACTGCTTGGCTTTTTGTATGCACTCCCTGAGAAAGTTGAGACGCGGGGATACATATCAGCAAGGAATGGCACAATGTTTTAGGGCCACTGACAGCACCAAGTCCGATGTGGTTGGATGCCCGACTTTGGCCCAAGGTGAGGTGAGGGCCGTTCGGAAGACGACTTTCTGTTGGAATTTCGGGGGAGGGGAACAGCGAGGCTGTTCCCCCGCCCAAACGGGGTACGGGTATGGCGGGTATCCAAGTGATCCCAGGCCCAAGCGTGCGACCAGTTTTCACATAGGTGATCCACTTCAATGGAAACGGCAAGCGCCATATGTCGCGCTGCGTGGAGGCGGGCGGGCGGTTTTCTACGGTGACTTGGGAATTTTTGATGAACTTGCCCCGGATCGTTCAATTTAACCCATGGTGAGGGCTCTGTGAACGGTAGACAATGACGCATAATTAGCCAGAAGCCGAATGCCCCTTTGAAATGATCCCAAGGAAACATGATATACTCTGCTCATACGATTGACATACCCCGGGGGTATGTGTAAGCCCAGAGGATCAATTATGAGTCCATTGACCATTGGCAAGGGCACGTTCGGCATTTCCCACGCAGAAGCCACGTAATTCACTTAAAAGTTACACTTCCCTTCGGAGCCGTGTGCCGAAGCCTTGGTTTCATTCTCACCCTTGACTGCAGGTGAAAGGCATCCTGTGCAACGTACAACGGGCACTCCGTACACGTACCCCAATGCATACATAGTATCCTACCCAGGGCCGATACCCACCAACCGACAAAAACTGAAGCCAACTCACAACCGATCCCCATCAATACTGTGTTCTGGCCAGTAAACACCCAACAGGCCAATGTCATGGCTGTCATTCGGGCTGATTTGGGAGTTTCCAGTTGTTCATAGTCAAGCGGGATCGATTCTCGAAACGTTTGTCCCGGCTTGCGTCCCAGAGCTGTTGCGAACACTGAAGGGATAGAGGTCTTGGGATCCTTCCACTTAAGAGCCACCCAATTCACCCAGGTCAAATATTCCTTAGACGTTAAGTAGTGACTAGGTCCCCCAGTAGTGCCCGTTTACCCTTTTTTTGGGGAGGGTTCCCCTGCTAAAATAAACTACTGAAGAAAGGGTAGGTACCCTTATTCTATCCTCTCTACTGGAGGACCTAGGTGATGTACTCCCTCATCGAAGCGTGCCAGGAGTTCCGGATGGCCGGCCTATTGGCGGCGCAGTGCCGCTATGCCGATCTGGACCGCCGAACCCTGACGCTGCGAAAAAGCAAACAGCGGCACGCCCGCCATGTATCGTTCTCAGATCTCAGTGTGTATATGTCAACAGGTGTGTTTCTTGCCAGAGTTTTTTCGAGGTCCAATATTTATTGCTATGGGTGGGTTGGATGCTGTGTGTTGAAAGTGATGGTTGACAGGTGAGTCTATTGATGTCATCTTCGGGGAAAGTGTGTCCTAAGGCGCAACGGGAGAGGCATGCGGGCGGGACTCATTCTTTGGGGTACCCGGTCCCTTTTCAGGACAACCAGAACCATTTGTTGGGTCCCCATTGTTCCGCTTGTTTGACACGTACTGCATCCATGTTGAGAGTTTGAAGGTGGCAAAAGACCACTACCAGCACCAACACATTGGGCATTCAGAAGTTTTTGACAACGGAGGAATCTACGAGAACCTCGGCAGCTCGTACTGACTCCTGTGTAGAATGTGAACCACAGGGTGAAAACCAGGGCTTTCTTTGCCTGGTTGCCTTTTCCTTTTCTTGCAGACGGGTCGGGCGCGCAATGCGTGCAAACTGCCTTTGAGAGCCTTTCTGGCTCGTAGCCTTGGCTTCACAGAGCAAGCCAAGAATACGCATGGGAAACAACATGATATGGTCGTGTGGGCAAAGATGATACGACATTAGTGTTTCTTTTTTTGACAGGTTCCCTTTTTGGTGTCTATCCAAAACCACCAAAACAGGAGCTTCAACAAAATACGCATCCATATGTGCGGATGAGTTCAAAATCGTTGTGCTTGCCGGCTGAGGACGATGCTTGCAGCGGATCTTCTGAGCGAGCATGCGAAAACCCAGACCGTGAGAAACAAAGCCCCGCGATTCAGCCCACCCCCAGCCTAAACCAACCCCACCAACCCAAAGCCCCATCTTGACTGAACCAAACCGCAAAAAACCTGAACCGCCAAAAAAGACACCTTGCTAGACCCGGCATTTCGCACAGTCATCGCCTTGACGTGCCTTGGCGAAGGCCCCTGTTTGAGAAACCCAAACACAAGGCTCTTGGTTTCTGAGTTACTCAAAGCGAATCGACTTGTTGACCTTTGTTTGCCCTTTTTATAGTCAAGGTTCCAAACGCTTCCTTTTATTTCCAGGTCCTTCAGACATGTGAGTTTCGGAATTCTTACTTTAGGTTGCAGAGCAAGACTCCACCCGATCGATTGCCATGTCGACGGGCCCTGTCCGAGTGACTTCCCGGCCGGCACACGCGACTTCGCGCCCGGTGCACGACCGACGAGCCGGTGCGGCGCACACCAAGTTTCTGCCGTTGGTCCTGGGGGCGACAGGCTCGGCCAAAACTTGGGGGCTACGAGTTCTCATGAGTTTCATGGTGTTCGCTTGACTTGCTTCCCTTTAGAACCCCGAAAAGCGGACCAACTGCCAAAAAAGGAGTTACACCCACGTGCGATATTATACAAAGATATGTATATACATATCTGCATCTTTTTCCTGAAGGACAGGGTCAGGAGTGCCTCGCGAATTCATTGCTTTGCTATCTTCACTAGCTTTAGTTTTTTGGGTTCTCACTTCTACAGAGGTTGGGTTTGTTCAGTGAAATGGGCTGCGGGTGTGTGCTGCTCAGTGCTGGTGGTGACTGGCGGTGCTTGTTCTGCGCGTTAGCCAAGGTGCTGGGCAGGGTGCTGGTCAGGATGCTGGGGTGATGGGTGCTGGTCAGGGTGTGTGGTGACTGGCGGTGCTTGTTGGGCGATGCAACCATATGCTGGTGAGTTGTGACTGCGTGCTTGCTTGGTGCTTTCTCAGCTGGTCAGATTGCTGAGTGACGCGGTGCTTCTTTGGCGCTGCCGTCAGCACTGGCGAGTACTGGTCAGGACGCTGGTGACGGCGGGTGTCAGGATGCTGGTCAGGGTGCTGGTTGCTTCAGTCCGCAATGCTGGTGACAGGTGGCGCGTACCTCCACGGACAAGTTTCACATACCTAGCTTATTTGCCTTCTCCAGGAATTCTGCAGGACATAGAAAATACGGTTTTCTATTTGTGAGTCCGTGGGAGCATTTTTTCCCAGTCGGGGGTGAGGAGAGAAGTGTCTGACTGTTAGCAGTTCTGAAGGCTTGTGAGCAGGTCGGATGAGGTACGCTTACTTGAGTGATGAATCCAGGCATTTGCATGGTAGTCCTCCTGAGTTCTTCCATAAGACCACCAAATGCATGTACAACGATTTTCACTGCTCGCTGACGCCCATTCGGAGCCGGTCCATCTGCTGAAAACCATTCACTTCCGGCAGAATTAATTGTTTGACGTGCCTCCCTTCATCAATGTTCCTGAATGCCGCAAGCTGAGCAAGCAAAGCGTGTTCCTACCAATCCTCATCGCCATTTCTCAGCAAAGCGTCTGAGCCAGGCGTGGTCTTCGGGGACATCGGTACCTCGCCACTCTACACCTTCAACAGCATCTTTACAGAGCTGCATGCAATCCCTAGTCCGGCGGACGTGCAGCAAGCCTTCTCAGTGATGTTTTGGACGCTGGTGTGGATGAATCTTGGCAGCCTTGGCACAAGTGAGCAAGTGACTCAATCCCTAGTCAGCCTTTCGATTGGGAGAGTGAAGGAGTCGCGACGATCATGAGAAGTGGTTTGTGCCCTGAGCCCACATTGGAAACTCGCGCTATCCGCCAACCAATGGGGCAAGGATCAACCAGTCACCCTGAGGAATCCGTCGACACTGGTTGATCCGCTTTTGGTAGAACCCCCTGCTCCTCTCCTATCATCAAACTAGATGCTGGTCTTTGGGATCCAGACAAAGTAGACCTTTTCCTTATTCTATGCCTCGATTTGGGCTTCGGAAGACCCGCTAAGCTTTTAGCAGGCTGCAACCTCTTCGGTTTCACCATGTCGTGTGCTTTCGCGGATGCGTTTTTTGGGTGTTGCCCCTTGGATGTTTGTTGTTCAATTGTTTTGAATCATTAGACAAACGTTTGCAAAGACTTGTAGGCTCATAAGGCTGGGCTTACCTTGGAGCTTGCCTTGCCCCGTATGACGATTGTTAGAGCAGAATCCAAATATCAAAGTAATGCATCATGGTTACATAGCTAAACATTTGAGACATCAAGTCGATTCTTTGGCCCCGTCTTGTTTACCTCTTAAAGAACCAATGTACAGGTTTCTAAGGCCAAAAGGATCCCTATTCGAGACAATAAGCCTTATTAGGCCCTATTGGGATTGGGGGTGGCTATTGGATGGCCCTTGACAACCCTATAGAATAAGGGAACTATGATTATGTCCCGCCATGGAGTTTTGACCATTGCAGTGAGTAAGTTATCTCGCCCGTGCTCGAGGATATGTGTCAAGTATGTTGGCATCGTTATGCGGGTCAGCCATCATGGTGAAGGAGGACATACTCGACCTCCCCCAAGGCTCTCCACCCCCCAAGATCCGCGAACGGTTTGAAGGTTCCCACGAACGAAGGGGTCTTGTCTTGGGTTGCGGATCCTAACCAACAAGAAAGGCCAGTTGCCTTTGGCTTTATTCCCCAGGATTTATTTCCCAGTTTGCTGAGGCCGGGGTATGCTCATAAGGTATGTTGGGTTCTTGGAATGTGGGTGCAAGGGGTTGTCGCTGAGGCTTCCCCAAAACAACTCCAAGGTTGCCAACCCCTTTTCAGCGAAACCAAGTATTTGTTCGCCTTTAGGTGAGCCCCTTTTCAGGGCCTTCCTGCTTTCGCCTTTTACTTTAGGTGGAACCCCGAAACGGGAGGGGAACCCTTTGAAACCCAATGACACCCTTAAACATGGTAACACGGATACGAGGACCCTATGCCCATTGTTCACAATCCCTGTGAAATACCACGCATTGCCGCTCATGCCTGAGCAGCGGTTGCGGCGAAAAATGATTTTCTTTTCAGCCTCAAGATGCTCTGGTGACTGTGCCCTGTAAGTTGGCATCAAGCCCATCCAGGCTGTCTTCAATCTCCTGAGGAGGATTTCAAAATTTGGATGTGAATATCAGGAACTCTGAATTCTGCCTTGTGTGGTTGAAGAAGCTGATGAGCCTGTAAAGATACACGTTGGTCGCTCCATGCAGGAAGTACTGAACTTCAGCGTGTTCTTGAAGTAGTTGACTCCTTCGGCGGGATCTTGAAGCAATTCGTTGTCGAGGACTTTCTTGTACATGTAAGCATCTCCGATGAGTACGCTTTTGAGGAGAGGTCCTCTTTTGGATGCTTCGATCGTGGTGAATGTTGTCCAATCATCTACGAGTTCTTCATACCTGAACCAGGTAACTTTTCCGTCGTACGATGGCGGCTGCTTGGCGGCCATTGATAAATTTAGCTCTCTTCAGTGAAGCCTGTTGATCGGCGTGCGCTGGAATAGGCCTCCATGAAACCTTGAGTGGATCTCATCGAAAAACCGGGGGTGCTCGATCCCTAAGGAGGGAGCACCTATTGTTGCAATGGTCTCTTTGTAATTTGCCATTGTTGGATGGATATTATGGAAGTCCCCGGTTTCCACACTGTCGTAAGTGCACCCTGCGAATCCGCAATGCCTCTTTTTCCTGAGGATGGATTGCAATTGAAATCGCGTCAAGACTAAGAGGGCCTTGAGCCCAAATGTGGCGATGAGATATATGTATATATATATATATATCTATCTACATATACGCGCCAAACACATACCCCCCCCCCCACCGCAAGCGGTCGCAGCGAGTTTGACATCACCCCCCCGCCCCACCGCCCCCCCCCACGGCATGTGATGCAACAAAATGTGAAAACCTCCCCAGTATCCGAAGATCCGTGTCACCTTCAACATACACAAAGCCTAAATTAGGGGACCTGAACATAGCGGGTTTCCTTTCCCTTTGAATTCGGGGGGGTGTTCCCCAATCGCTAAGGGGACCTCTCGTCGGGGGCCCCCAGATTAAACCTGTCCTATTAGGGTGTTCCCTCCAAAAGTGGTCTGATTTTTTGAAGGGACAGACTCAGATCAAATTTGCCCGGGGGTTAATTAATTAGGGGTCAACATGAAAGATTTTGCCCCGCAGGAACCTTTGCCATGATGAAGGTGATCTTGGAAAGCTTGCAGCGTGGAGAGGGGCGGCTTCTCGACTCGGAGTCTGAGACCACTTCCGATGAGGAGCGTTGGTCGATTTGTCGATAGACTCGGTCGGTGTTGTGTTTATAAAACCAAGCCCTTGCCATTGAGTTAGTAATGGAACACAAAAGAGCGCTTCTAACATGTCGGTCGGCCCAACCCTCAACAGGAAACTGGTATGGCAAATTCAGCGGCAACTCGAAGCACGACCGCTAAGCGGGTGATGAAGGTTATATCATATATATATATATATAATATGGTGAATTAGTATACCCTCCCACCCACGTCACGTTGAACTGGAGCCTTATTTTGTGGGCACTTTTTTAGTCCATTTTCCTCATGGCGCCAAACCTGTGGGTTTACGTGGGATCCATGTTGGGAAGGCATTCCCCCAGATTCTGATATATTGCTACACTTTCACCCTCACGTTGCCACGGCTTTCTGACGAAAGGTGGTCCGTTTAAAGGTGAGCTCCCCTAATGATGTTTTAATTTAGGCGGAAGTGTATCAAAGCCTGTTCTGTGGCAATCTGGGAAGGGTGGCACTGGAAAGGTCACTCTGAAACTGATTTGCGAGATCTCCAGCCGTGGGAACTGCAGCATGGGTAAATTACAAGATTGAGTTCAACAAGAAGACGGGGCAGCGTACGAAATTGAAGTCATGCATCCGGAATCTATGTCTGACTTCCCCTTTGGATCAAACAAGAGTCTTGTGGAATCCTACCGGAATCCTTACAGTTGGGTTGGATGAAAGAGATGGTACCATTGCTGCACTTTGGTTTAAACTTGCCCTTTCTGCAGCCACTTGGGGCTGGAATTGTGCCATCTACTTTCGCCCTTATGTAGATATTTCAACAGGATGATCAACTTGTTCAGGGTTGACCAAAGGTTTGCTGATCCTTTCCCGGCAATGAACCTGTCCAGAAAGAACAAGCAACTCGTGGTTGGATTTGAACTGCGTGAGTCCGTCGAGGAGATTAGTAGTCCGCCGGGGAACTGGGTAGAAGCCGCATGGAAGATGTGGCCTTCCAATGGTCGTTTGTTGGCCTCACTCCTGCCATTCTTCAGACAGTTCACGACCTTCTCGTAAATGTGCACTAACGCCTCGAGTTGGGCATGTGTCCCAGGGTCCCGGACCTCCAGTGCCCTTTTGCAGACTTTTCTTTTAAATCGGGTGCTCTTCGTTCCCATGGCCACTCGGAAGAAAGCAACCTCGGGCAGGAGATTGCAGGCATTCGCCGGGAGTCCCATCCTTGGCAAGAGAGATTAGCTGCTTCCTCAGTGGAACTGGGGAGGGGGGGGGATTCCTCGATTTCCATTCGTGCTTCGACTTTCCTTTTTGCGGAAATACCAAATAAATAGAATTGGGGGACCCCCCACCTCCGCCTTAATGTAGGGGGGGCTCTTCAATCCAGGAGTTCAAGATATTCTTGCAGCGAGACACACAAACTGCCTCAATGTTGACCCGTAAATAAGAAGGTGCAGGCGTGTGCCGCATGATGAGGCCCCAAAGGTTTGTCATGGGCATGGTGTGACGGTGTACGATTTCGAGCTGAGTACAGAAAGACTTGATCCAAGATCACAGCGGGGTGTCTTTGAGATGAAACAAGAGCTCAGAGATCACACTGGTTGCGTGCAGAACTTATCTTCCAGATTCATGTGGATTTTAGGAAGCCATCCTTTCCAGAGAGACTTCCTTTTGAGGTCCCTAACCACTCTTTTCAGGGCAGAGGTTCTACTCGACAATATTAGTGAATAAAGTTCTCAGCAGCAAGTCATGATCGGCAGACTTGCAGAAGCCCACAAAGCCGACTTGGGCCTAGGACCAATACCGGGCCTCGTACGAGAACCAATCAATTCGTGCAGCGCATTCAGAGGCTAGGTTGGCTGCTCTGGTGGAGTTTCTGTGGCATAAGCTAGCAATTTGGGAACTTGTTAAACAAGAGCAACAAGCAGCGACTCAGATCGATAGTCCCAACCGAGACTTTGTAGCTACAGATGCCTGACCAATACCTAATAAGGACGTAACATGTGGCTGTTCCCACAGTTGTAATGTTACCTGCCTGGAAGTTCCTGATGCGAAACGCGCACCCGAGGCAGAAGATTAAGCCATCCGGTCAAAAGGGAAGTGGGCTGTCTAAACAGACGCCCAGCTTCTGCAACAAGTTTCCTGGTAAGTTAGATTTTTTGCAAGCCGTGATTTTGCAGCCAGAGTTGCAGAGGCACACTTCGTACTACTTTTGCACGGACAAGTTGCGTCCGCTGCAAAATAAACCAAAGCGATAGATGATGAAACAATAGTGTAGGAGTTGTTTGGGGCAAGCAGAAAGGCACGGATGGCACAGGGTTTATGCAACCCCGAGTGGCACGCTTTAGCTTGCGATAGCTTACGCACCACATCGCCATAGCCCTGCCTAGTTTGTCGCTCCGCTCCCTTGAAAGCTCTAGCGGAAGTTGGCTGTTGGCCTCTGAATTCTGTGTACCTTGTTGGTATTGAAAACCACGAAGACCGATTACGGCCTACCCAATTATGCCATGGTCGTGAATGAATCCTACGTACTGGACGTCGATCTTATCCGTGCACAGTGCAGAGCCGCTGTTTTGATGCTCTTTAGAAATCGCTGCGAGTCTGGGTCGCGAGGTTCTGCTGCTGGGCATGTTGAGCTGCTCCATGCTGGTGGGCGATGGGGTCATCACGCCCCCCAACTCCGTGCTTGGGGCATTGTGCCTTCGGTCGGCAATGGGTTTGTTGGTTGGTTGGTTGGTCGGTTGGTTGGTTGGTTGGTCAGTTGGTTGGTTGGTTGGTCAGTTGGTTGGTTGGTTGTTGTGTCAGTTTGTTTGTGCTTGGAGTTTGTATTCCCATGGATCAATCAAGGTGTTGGATTTTTGATCGGGCGAGTACCTGACAATATTGTTGGTGGTCTACTATGGGACACGGGTGGCAATCTGAAGTACCCTCACAAACCAGAGAGTTTATAGGGTCCATGCAAGCGACATTTTGGGTTCGAAAGGGAAACCGGAAAACCACGACACAGCACTGTTGAGAACCTCTCGAAATGGAACCAGGTTTTTGGTATCCCGAGGAGGCATTTCATAGTTCAATTCTCCCTTTATGGGGAAGACCATTTCAAACGGACCGCAGGAGTTGTGGCTCCAAGATGCTGTCAAGCAAGGACTTTGAGGTTGTTTTTCGCAGGGAGCGTGCTGTCTCAAGATGGTGTTCCTGGAATTAACCCAAGTAGACAAACGCATGGGATTGATTGGGGCGAGGGTAATTACGCTGGGAGCCTCTGTAGCGGCAATTGGCATGTTGCTGTGCTCTTCTGTGGTTACATGTGAAATTGTCGCGGAGCAGTATATTTACTAATATGTACTATTAGTGTGTATATATATATTAATATATATATACACATATGGTCAGGCCCCCCCATGAACTACCTTTTCTTCTTATTTATATATATACTATAGATATACAAGTTGCTGGGTTTGAGCTTCCTGGGTGTTTCCACCAGTGGCACCTCATGGTGAAGCTATGTTTGGGGTTAGAATGACCATCAACCTGTTGGAAGAAGATGCAAAGCAGCAGAGTTCATGTGGGCACGATGGCGGTTGTTCACGAGCTCACCCGATTTTCGGCACGAGCAAAGAAGGAACAAATCATGAAAGACCGTTTTGCAGGGGAGGGGCGGGGGTCCCTTATTTTCCATTTGGCAATAGCAATCGGAGATCGTCTGAAGGGAAGCCTTCTGAGCAGCCGGGACAAAAATGCGATGCAGACCATATGGAAAGCATGGCCGCCGCATTGTTGTGAGTGCTGAGGAACAGTCCATGTCTTCAAGCAGCTCGGTGGCCAGGGCGTACCAAGAAGCCATGCAAGTCGTGTACTGGCTGCGAAATTCGCCCAAATTGGTTGATGTCTTCAAAAGATACCAACACGGTCCAACAGGGAATGGGCAGTGTCCAACAACATATGTTGCCATTAAACAAAAGAGGATGTGGTAGTTAAACACACAAATGTCAGACCGTCCACTTGGAACCCAGATTGTGAAGAGTACCACGCCAGCCTCTCTGTATATGCCCAGCCAGGATCTGGCGTTATTGTTCACTTGTTTGAGGTCGGGGATAGGCGCCTCTCACATGTCGCCCGGCAAGGGTCCAGTCATTTGTTCGGAAATAGAGGCATACAAACAGTTTAACTTGGTACTACCCTCCACGCGACTCACTTGTAGGGGCGTAGGGTCCAAACCAGCTGCCCTGCAAGTCAGGTTCCATGGCAACGCGGGTAAATCAAAAGTAAGAACCAGTCCCATGGGGAAATACGCAAAGGTACCAAACTCTCTCCCTCAGTTCCTGGACTTTAAGCTTTTTGGGAAGACCATTTTAGTGGCAAATATACAGTTCGGACCGTTTTGGGCCGTCCACTCGGGAAGTGAGACCAAATCAAAGACTAAGCCAATCCCATAAATTAGTCCATCAGAAAATACGCAAAAGAACCACCGATCCCATCCGCCTGAGATCAATGCCCGTTTGGAGTTCTGGGGCATCTCAGGTGACCGAAGTATGGCTGCATGTGTTTCGCAGGTCAAAGTTGTCACCGAAAACGGGTCCCCCTTTTTAGGGAAGTGAAAGGGAATTTCGGGGGGTCCAAATTCTTAAGTTGGCTTCCTTTTGGTGCCCCTTGAAATATATACCAACCAAAGGGGGGGTCATGTTGTGAGAAACTCCCACTTATTTCTCTCTCTGGCACTCCGAACAGTCCCAGGGCTTGATGTGAGGTTTCTGAAGGCTGGAACATCTGCATTGCCGTGCTGATCCAGATGGGGGTCTTTGGTCTACAACGCGCGGGCAGTCGTGTCATCGGATATCTCGCAGGCATGGGCAACATGTTTAAACAGCTACCTGGCCGCCTTTCAAGGTTTGGTGGTTCAAACGTTTCAACTGCGTTATCCAAAGACCATTGGTTTTTCATACACCCCATCTTTACTCTCACGTTTCAACATGATGCACGGGGTTGGCTGGCCTCCGCAACCCTGGCAGGGCCGATTATGGTCCTTTGGTTCCTGACGATTGCTGGTCTGGGCATCTACCAGATGAGTCTGAACCCTGAGATCCTGAGAGTTCACTTAGCAAGTCTTGTCCAAGGCGTCCAACAAGGATCCAAGGGAAATGGTTTCCATTACCCCGAAAAACCACACCCAAGGGGCAGTTGGATATATATATATATATATATACATATACGTGTATATATATACACATACATATACATGTACATACATATATATATATATACATAGATAGACATATATATATATATTACACCCTCTAGCGGTGATATAGTGGTTCCTTCAAGTCAACATATTTGCTGCAGGACTGCTTGATGCTTGCAATGACATGCGGGAACATGATACTGTAGTTCCAACAGCGAGAGGGCCGACTCTTTTCCCAGGGAATGTGCTGGTTCTCAGCAGGGAATGAGGGAACCCCTTATATTCATGGTTTCCTTTAGGGAATCCCCTTTCGGTTCATTCCCAATACCCGGAAGGTCATTCCTACCTATCGCACCAGCAAGATCGCACAAAGTTTTTGGTATCCCGACTCCAGCTTCAGTTTTTTCGGACGGCGAGGTCTTTGCCTTTTGCGGTCATGTCACCGAGGATGACCCGGTACATAGCGCGCGGCTTTAACCCCACCAAGGCACGGACGCACAGGTCTCAAAGGAACCTCTGCGCCAACAACATGTTTTTCGTAGGCGATGAAATACCACCTGGTCTCATGGGTGACATCCGTTTCGGTTTATTTGGATCATTTCTTGGGGACAAAATGGCCTGCTTCTTGTTGATTTGGCTTCTTAAGACCAACCCAATTTAAAGGCTTTGGTACTCCATCCACGTTGGAAGCTGACTGGGCGCCCTCGCTACATTTTTTCCTCAGGACATGCAGGGTGGGTGAATGCAGGACAACGCGGGCGCCTCCGGAAACGTATCCAACTTGCTGGTGCGATAGGCAGGGAATGAGAAATGGAATGACCCTTATAACCCATCCCACAAGTGGTTTCCTTCAAGGGAATCCCCAGGTTCATTCCCTCATTCCCTACTGAGCACCAGCAAGTCAAATGATCCAAACGATTTCACTCTGCAAACCTTGCGCGTTGACTGAAAGGACGATTTGTGATTTTAAATCGTTGGTTTTAAAGCGAACCGATTCACTGCTGGAGATATGTTTCCTATCGTTTCCAGGGGGCGAAAGCACAAATGAAAGAAACAGATGGCAAAAGGACCAGGAGCGTTTGAGTTGCCCGTTTTGGGATGTTTTGACAAAGGACATAGAATGGACGTTACCAACCAATTCGTAAGTACCCGTTTCATTCAAAGGAAAATAATTGACTGAGAAATGGGTTCGCTTCGGCCTTGGTTTTAAAACCACCAGCCTTTCCCTTCCAAACAACCGAGTTGTCTCAAATGCAGCTGCGGACCCTCTCCTTTAACATATGCTACTTTCATGGTTTGCCAACTCTCAACACAGAATCCCAAGTTGGACACCCGTTTAGAAACCGCCCAAACTTAAGGGAAGCCCAATTTGGGCAGAAGCCGCAACCCGAAAGCCATGGGCCGCGAAAACAAATTGAGGGAAGATGGGCCAGGTGTACCACTTCTTCGTGCTGGGGGAGTTCCGTGGGTACCAGGCCTTCCGCTCCATCGCTGGGGTGGTGCTCTGCGTCACCGGGGCGGAGGCCCTCTATGCGGACATGGGGCACTTCGGCGCAGGACGGGGCCGGTCAACGGGCCTTCTTCGCGGCTCTCGGGGAGTGGCCATAGGTGTCCTTTCTGGTTGAATTGCTTTAAGAATAGAGGGCCCTAATTTACCTGCAGGGCAATATATTTTCCCAAAAAGGACATCTATGGGAGTGGCGGTTCCGTTTTTAAGGAGAGGTGGTTCCCGAAAGGTTCAAGTTCAAGCAGTGAATAGCGTGGGGTGTCGGTTTTGGCGCTGGGTTTGCCTGTTTTCAACTTAAACAAGGGGGTCGACGTGAGGGTCATTTTCAGCGTGTTGCTTTGAGACGCAGACAATGTTGCTTCGCCCGGTTTAGAGACATTGGGTTGGCTCCAAAAAGGAGGCTCCTTACTTAAAGAGGATGGGTCCCAATTGCCTACATCTTGAGGGGTTCTCATATGTTAAAGTTGCTTCCGAGGTGTCCGTTAAGGAAGGAAGGAAGGAAGGAAGGAAGGAAGGAAGGAAGGAAGGAAGGAAGGAAAGAAGCAATGAAGGAAGGAAGGGGAGGGAAGGAGGGAAGCCCCCAGCGCAGCAAGCACAAACAACCGCATCAGGCAGTCCTTCCTGCCTTCCTTCCCTCCCTTCCCTCCTTCCCTCCTTCCCTCCTTCCCTCCTTCCCTCCTTCCCTCCTTCCCTCCTTCCGCCTCCTTCCCTTCATTCCTCCATTCCACCTTCCCCCCCCCCACCCCGACCCCCCTGCCTTTCTCTTAGTTGCACTATATAGTTCTGGCCTGGCTGATGCCGCTGTTTGTGCTTGCTCCACTCGGAAGGGGGGCTGCGCCAAAAACTTTATTTCCAAGAGTCAAGAAAACCTATTAGCCATCAAATCCCCTGCCACAAATCTGCCCAGCATTGACTTGCCACGTTGACAGCTACAATTCAGCCAAGGATAATCTTCTGGAAGGTCAAACTTCACACATTGCAGGCTCAGCTGGTCCAAGTTCAATCACCTCCACAGGACGATCATCAAATGAATTCCGCCATAGCTGGTGTCAGTGTGTGATAACAAGGGCCCCCAATTGAAATAAGCCTTGTGGCTGACGTAGTAAGAACACACCTGAAAACTCCAGCATCAAAAAGACTTATGAGGCATCAACAACAAACTTGTCGGGCATGGCTGCGGTTGCTTTGTTTAGAGTTTGTTGGGGGTGGGTTTACTGCGGGGTGGTTTAGAGTTGTTTAGCTTAGATGCTTAGCAAGTTTGCTTGCTTAAATATTTTGTTTTGATGACTCACCTCTTTTGGCGGCCAGACGTCATGGTTCCCGGGTGTGTGTTTCTTTGCCGCAGCATCGAATGACACACTGGTTGTCAATTAGCTGAGTCACAGCAGTTGCAGCAGGATGTGTTCTTGCTACGTAAGCCACAAGGCTTATTTCAACACAACCCTTGTTGTCACACAAGCTATGGCGAATTTATTTGATGATTTGAACTTGGACCAGCTGCGCCTGCAATGTGCGAAATTGCCAGGTCGGTCGGCAGTGAAGTTTGACCTTCCAGTAGACTATACTTGGCTCAATTGTGGCTGTCAACGTGGCAAGTCAATGCTTGGCGTATCTGGGGCCGGTTCTACGGGGTGAGGGATTGCCTGACCGCGATATGGTTTGGGCGCTAAATTGTTGGTGTGTCACTCATTTCAAGCAAATGGCAACACAATTTGTCCTAATGCACGTTAAATATTATTCCAGCGGCGCTAGTTTGGCAGAGCAAATGCAGCTCGGATTTGTGCATATATATAATTATATATATATATATATTCTTGCCAGATAAGTTAGCTTGCTTACTGACTAAGATTCCCATCCATGTTGCTTCTTTTCTCACGACACCTGATGTGAGCTTGCGTGTTTCCTGCATGCTGCCACATGTTGTGCTTGTAATTTGTCATTGCGCATGTTGACGGCATTGCTAGGTCGGCCTTCGGGGTGTTTGAAGTGAGTTTTGATTTGTGCCAGGTGCAATCACGACTGCCTGGTTCTGCCTGGTCTTTCCCTGCCTCACTCTGCAGCATCTCAACCAAAACTTAGCATTTTGGACGGGTCGGTGGGCACAGGATGTGTCCCATGGCATGTCAGCTCGGCAAACCCAAGCTGCCCCATTGTGCGTTCCTTTGTTGCATCTCTCGCATTTGTGCTTTCTCAGCCCGCGAGATATTGAGCTGTCATAGTTTTTCCTGTTTTTGACCTACACGAGCAACGCCTAGCCCCAATGGCGACTTTGGTGCGGATGATAGAGATTGCTAGCCGCAGTTGGAAAACCTGCATCAGGTTTTAGCACGCATTCTGCCAAGTTTCCACATGAGGATCCCCAAAATGCTCCGTCTCAAGGAAGTGTATTCGGGTGGAATAGGGCTAAAGCCCTGCAAAACGAAGGTGACCTTTTAAAACGAACCCTTAAATTTTGGAGACAGCTCACATGGGGAGGGAAGTGTCAAAGGTAGGCTCAGAATGTTTGGTTTTGCTGATTGAGCTGGCCCCTAGCTGAGTCAAATCGGCATCGAGCGCTTGATTAGTTGAGGGCTTTCTGCCCATACTGCTTCAATGACTGTGTTTGGCTTATAGCTTATGGGTACCCTTTTTGGAAACAGAAACCAAAACAACTTTCAGGGGTGCGCCCTTTGCTGACACACACACACACACACACACACACCACCCATACCTCCTTTCCAACAATGGTATGGCCGGCAAGAAGGATTCGCCGGCTCAGAATCGGTGCACCTGGGCCCTATGAAGGGTTCTCGAGGAATCCATTCATTTCAGGTTGGTGAGATCTCTCATTTTCACCGTGAGTGAGTTTCAGCCCGCTGACTCTACGGAAATTCATGGCGTGGGAGTTTCCTTGAGGCCGGAATTGGGGCCAGAATCAACCCTGTTGGGTTTTCCGCACTCGTGCCCTAAATTCTCGCCCGCCTTGAGAACTTTTAGGGCTTTAAAAAGGCGGCGAAGCGCCAGGTACATGGGCCAGGCGGTCATTTTGGCCCAGCAGCCGCAGCTGATCAATGCCAACCCCTTGTACAGCACAGCGACTCATCCGAATGCGCGGATTTGGGAGGGCTCAAAACGAGCTCCCTTGTGGCATGGTAAAGGATTAAGCAGGAAACCAGCTTGGAGGGGGTCCTGAATGCTGAAAACACCCTGATCTCCCGTAGGGTCGAAATTTAAACGTCACCTTTTGGGTCAATGTGTTCCCTTTTTGTGGGGTGATGTTAAAAAGACACAAATATAGGGAACGATAGAAACTGAGATGGTCTCCACTACCAACCACTACCAAACCTACCGGAGCCTTGGGGAAAAACTGGGTACAACACAATTTTATGGTGACTGTATTTCTGGCAGTTTATTCCATAAAAGCCCGGGGGCTAAAGGTTTGGGGGGAGTGAAACTATTGATTGAATCGGAGTGCATTGACTACTTGAGTGTGAGGAGTGGGGCCAAGCATGTGCAACAACCAGTTTCTGGTCCCCTTAGGACAACCAAAAGGAGGTTGTTGAAACAGAAATTAGGTTTGTTGAAACAGCTGGTGTGTATACATTGTTTTGTTTTAGAGACAGGGTTGGCCCCACCCTGGTGTGAGGAACCAACAAATGGGCAGATGGCCATTCCCAGAAACCAGACGAGCAACATCTTCAGCTTGTCGATTCACAAATTGCGAAATGTCGGCCCTTATTCCTCAATTAGGTCTTAAATGTGTTAAAAGTCCCCCACAGCCTCATTTTGATGATTCGCCCTTTTTGGATACCTAGCGTGGTTTTAAACGGAACCACAGGATTTGTGGCTTCGTTCCCCCTCATCTGACGACACACGACCGAGGCTCCAGAACCCCTGCTGTGGCCTGTGTTCATTCTGGCAGCTTTGGCGGCTGTTATCGCATCACAGGCATTGATCTCAGGACGGGATTGCTACCTTTGGCTGGATGGCAACTATGTGGATTGGAATTTCCTCATGGACTGGTTTATGGGGTTGTTTCTTGGTTGTGCTTAACCTACCTCAAGTGGACAAGGGTTTTGTAAGAAGTGCTACACAGAACGTAGAGAGACTAAATACAGGAGCTTACTACTGCTTTTGTGACAGCACACTGGAAGATCTGGCCCAATGGACTGCAATGAGGCTCGTGCTGTGCACTGTTTTCTTGTTTTATCGGAGTTGTTGTTTGACCCTGATCCGCTCATGGAACCTGACTGGGTGGAGGACCATGTACTTCAAGCCGGCGAAGTCTTGGAGTGGCTCGCACAAATAGGCAAGTATGTTGGTCAAGTTGCAAATGTTTACTTGTTCCTCATGCCCACGCACACACACACACCAATAGATCCCCGGAGTTCCGAAGAAACATGTGCCAATCGAACTAAGTTGCGTTTTGGGTTGACACGGGTGCGGATTTGCTTCGCTCTCATGTGGTTACCCTTCAAATCCCCTGCTCGGTGACTTCTGTTGGACCTGCGCGATACAGCTACTAGAGAGTTTGAGTTTGTGAAAAGTCACGAGAACCAACAGCCCAACAACAAGACGATATGTCACTGTGAAACGCAGGAGTCTTCACCATCATGTCCCAAGCTCATGCGCTGGGGCTGATGCCACGAATGCTGGTGCTGCATACCAATCCGGATGAGAAGGGACAGGCACGGAGGGGACTCGCGAGCTTTGGGGGTGCCCTCTTTTGACCCTTACCCGCATGCATTAATAAGCCTGTGCCGTCTACACTTAGGGGAACATGTAATGACACACGCAGACCCTGGCCCCCTCACGGATACCAAAAGGAGGTCGGCAATAGTGACTTGACGTTGGACGTTTACCCAGGTATGGTTCTTTTGAGGTTTCTTGTTTTAAAGGAAAACAGAATGGACACCAGCACCCCAAAACAGCGGGTTCCATATCCATTTTTCAGAGATCCAGGTACTACACGCCTAGACGAACCTCCTTGTACATGCCTAGACGAATCTCCTTTTGGGAGACTCGTCAACTTTAACACTCGAGTGACAGGTTTGACCTTCTGCCGTGCATTTGGGGTCCAACAGCCAGGTTTTAAAAGCAGCAAAACAAAGTCCAACCACCAGCGTTTAAAAGAAGGACAAAAGAACCTGCAGGGGTGGGATGTTCCGTGTGAGGTGTATATCCCGGAGATCAACTGGATGATGATGATCGCCTGTTGTGTGATCACCGTCACCTTTAAGACCTCCGACAACTTGGTGGCGGTCGCCTGCCGTGAGTTACTGAAGTCACAGCTTGGGCCACAGCTTCGGCCACGGGGTGGACAGTTCCTTTCTATGGGGCAAGCAAAGGGGATGATTAAACCAAAATGCGGGGGGGATTCTAGATACTACCTAACTCTACTGTGGATGACAGGTCGAAAACTGGCTGATACACCATGTATCAAACGTATCAAACGTATCAAATGGTGCGAAGTGGACTTTGTCCATGTCCGGTTGGACAGTTTTAACTGGAATCACGCTAACTTCAGGTTCCATGCTAATCTGTGGTTGATCAATATTCCGGCCCCCAATTATGACCATGAATAACTCTCCCACTTGGTGGTTGAAGTATCAAAAATTTATTGTGGTTTCCCCCAATGGTTGACCCAGGCTCATCAGACCTTTTGATCCACCCCCATGCGTATCAAAAACCTCGTGGAACCTCCCCCGCCCCCCCTCAAATGCAGGTTTTTGTTTCGTTTCCTGTACAGCCAACCTGAAAAGGGCCGACACGTCGAAAAGGTCCATGTTCGTGGGTGGTTGATCAATATTCTGGCCCCCTTGTTTCCATTTAGTGGTTGGAATATCATTAACCTTTTGTGTGATTTCCCAACCACGCATCCGAACCTTTTGATCAAACCCCAGATGAACTTTTGGGACACCTGGTCGTTGAGTCGTGAACGTGAGGCATACGGCATCTCGGTGACGGGAGCCTTCATCTTCACCACTCTTTTGCTTCGCTGGGTGCTTCTTGTCTTTGCAGTGCGGGTGTTTTCGTTGAGGGTGGCTGCTTCCATTTGCTGAAGCTATTTTTTGTTGATACCCCCTGTTGGTTTTAAAGGGAATGTATCACTAGTGAACATGTAGTGTTTTTTTGCATGGGACTCGAGCAAATGGAGGTAGCTTTTCAGGTTTGCTTGAAGGGAAGCCAGAAGCACATGCACATTGCGTCTCCCTTTTTTGACGCGTACCCATGTGTTGATTGCTGCACTGAGCTACAGCATGACCAATCTGGTTGAGAAGCCACTGGATGAGAGGCCTTGGGTCGACGAGTTATTCGACAACATGTGAGCAGCATGCTCCGCCCAATTTATGATTGAGTTTTTTCCCGCTTCAGATATGCCGTTGTCTTTTTGTTAAGGGTACCTTGCTTCTTTGCGGGTTTAAACGGAAACTGACACGCAAAGCCCACCATATGTGGGGGGTCCAGCCTTAACAAAACCCACACACTCAGGCTCCGGGAAGTCTGGCAGAACCGCTTTTTCGTGACCTGCCTGGTTCTGGTGCCCATGCTTGCGGTAGACCTGGTCTTTTGGCCACTTGGAGGTTTGTGAAAAGATTGGGGGAGGGAGGTCAGACACCTATTCTTATTGACACAGGTTGAGGGATTGGGGGATTGGGGGATTGTGACACAGGTTGAGGTTGCCAAACTCTTATTCTTTCACGATATCCGATGGTGCAATTTTGCTTGTCTAGTTTTGCACGTTTGCATTTACCGGTCCAGGCACTTGGATCAATAGGTTGATACGTTTTGCAAGTTGGTTCAGCAAGCTTTGCATCTCAGCTGCGCATTGCCTCTTTTTCGACAAAAGCGATACCCACAAGAAGCCAGAGGACTGAGGACAGTTGAATGTTCGGCG